AATCGCTGCACACAACACCGTGGGGACCATCCTCTGTAGGCCCCATGGGAAGTACGGCTAGGCCTGGACACAAGGCTTCCTTCCCTCCCTGGGCTCTCTACTGGGTTCAGTCACCTAATGACCTTACAAATGGAACAACTTACATTCAAGGATTGAGTAACGTGGATGATGTTGCCCTGATTCAATACTTGTCTTTTCATGGAAAGCAATAAATCTTATCTATAGGTGACAAATGCCCTTCAGCTGAATCACATCTATCTTGTCCAGACTGAAATGTCTCAGGCCGGGTGCAGTGGCTCACGCCTGTAATCCCAGTACTTTGGGAGACCGAGGCAGGTGGATCACAAAGTCAGGAGTTCAAGACCAGCCTGGCCAATGTGTTGAAACCTCATCTCTACTAAAAATACAAAAATTAGCTGGGTGTGGCAGTGTGTATCTGTAATTCCAGCTACTGGGGAGGCTGAGGCAGGAGAATCTCTTGAACCCGGGAGGCAGAGGTTGCAGAGAGCCGAGATCCAAGATCGCGCCACTGCACTCTAGGTTGGGCAACAAAGCAAGACTGTCTAAAAAAAGAAAAAAGTCTCATTTCCATGTTGTCAAATTGTGCCTCGTCCAACACAGTTAACCTCCTAATCCACACAGACACCACACAATTCCCTGAAGAGAGCAGCTCCTGCTAACCAGCCTTCCCTCTGAGGAAAGCCTGAACATGTATAAACAATTTCAAGCCATGCCAGGGAAATAAGAACAGATATAATGGAAACCATGTTAGCATGTCAGTGCATAGCCTGCTGATGACAGACTGAGCAGTCATCAGCAGTCCTATGCCAAATTTAGGAGTCAAAATGTTTTCTTACACTGTCATTGTTTTCAATTTTCTGATTGTATTTTGAGATACATTCAGATGGCATGGCTTTACAGAACAGTGGTATGACCAGTGACTGATCGTTCAATAATGCTTCTCATCAGAGTAATTATACGTGAGTGTACAAATGTGTGTATGTTTGTATGTGTGAGTACTATTCGTTTTAGTATGACAGGTGCCCTCTTTGGCGTGCACAGTTGTTATGGGCATGTGCACATGTAAAGCCAGCATAGAGAAATGCAATCAAATGCAACTCTGCAGGAGGTGGAAGAGTAGCAAGGGAATGGCTTTCTGCAGGGGATGTCATGTCTGAGCTCTGTTCTGAGAGGTCAGTGAGAGCTTGCATGGCAGATAGTATTGCCAGATAAAATAAAGACACCCAGTTAAATCTGAATTTCATAAAAACAGTGAATGACTTTTTAGTATAGGTATGTCCCAAATATTAGATGAGTGTTCTGTATTTTTATTTGAGAAGACAGGCAATTCTAATGGTGGGAGAAGGACAGATGTGCATGCCAACCATCTTTCCTTGTCATGAACATTGTCAACATCAGCATCTATTAACATTTAAAGAACAGGGGGAATTAGGTCCACACTCTTGGGAAACCGTAAGAATTTTTCCTCCTGCCTAAAACACAGAACATTCCTGCTTCTTCAACCAGAGGCTCCTTGAGATCATGCACTACACTTTATTCCTCCTGCTTCAGGACCTAGGCCAGTGCCTGGGATGTCGTAAACAATAAAGGTACATTTTTGGATAAATGAAAAAATAATACAGAATTACAGTAAAGGAAGAAAATTTGGGGTAAGAGGGCTAAAACTGACAAAACTGTGCATGGCTGAAAATACAGACAACTTCAAGATGAACAGGAATAGCCAAACGTGCAGCCATCTCCAACACCAGTGAGCAGACTACCGCAGTAGCAAGGCAATTGAATAATCTTTTAGCTTGGTTGGTATCACTGAACTGTGTCAAACTAGTGAAAAGTATACGAAGCGCCATGGGCAATTTCAGGGAAGTGTGGGAGTGCACTCAGCTGGGACTCAATTGTATTAATTATTACAATTATCTATTATTTAAAACCCATGTTTAAGGAGTCCAGGACATTGTAAAACCCAAAATGGGGAATAACTATACTAACTGGAACAGTTCAAGAAGTTTTAGGTAGAGAAATTAAATGAGGTACGTAAGAAGCTATGGACCTCAGAGAGGTTTTGCACTTTATAGAACCCATTTGTGTGTGTGTGTGGGTGTGTGTGTGTGTGTGTGTGTGTGTAATTATAAATACATGTATACAAATATAAACATATTTTTAATGATAAGCTGCAAGAATAGTATATTCCCACATACTGTATGTTATTCATATCAACTGATTAGAATTGAGCTACTGAGCTTTAGGAAGAATCTACATTTTCTTTCAAAATACTCTAGAGTAGAAATGTTTAAACAAATAAAGTAGTACTGATCTCATTTCAGATGTATAATGCTTTTTCGTTTTAAATGTATCTTCTTTTAAAAATAGCCTTGTCCTTTTTTTTTTTTTTTTTTTTTTTTTTTGAGACAGAGTCTTGCTCTGTTGTCCAGGCTGGAGTGCAGTGGCACAATCTTGGATCACTGCAACCTCCACCTCCAAGGTTCAAGCAGCTCCCTGCCTCAGCCTCCCAAATACCTGGGATTACAGGCACGTGCCACCACGCCCAGCTAATTTTTGTACTTTTAGTAGAGACGGGGTTTTAGCATCTTGGCCAGTCTGGTCTTGAACTCCTGACCTTGTGATCCAGCTGCCTCAGCCTCCCAAAGTGCTGGGATTACAGGCTTGAGCCACTGCGCCCAGCCCAGCCTTTGTCTTACTAAATAAGAAATATTTGCTGACCATAGAAAACTTTAAAAGTCGAGGTAAGTAAAAATATAAAATTAAAAACCACCCATTATTCTTCCAGTTAGAGATAATGACTCAAAATTTTTGCATATATATTTCAAGATTTTTTCTGTATGTATATACATATGTCTACATTTACCAAAAGTGGTATCAGCCTCTAGATACAAATATAAGCTTGTTTTTTAAGCTACAAATTTATCTATCCAAGTGACCAAATATATTCCCACACATGATTTTTACTGCTTGCACATATGTTTTCTACTGATGGTTTACTTAACTGTTTATTGCTGAACATTAAGATTGTTTTCCATTTTTGTGTGACAAACTTCCTTACAGCTAAGTCTTTAAGGGCATCATCATTACTTCTGGGGAATCAATTGCTAGAGGGAGAATTGCTGAGTCAAATATTATGTATATTTTTAAGGCTTTTGATCCATATTACCATTTTCCTCTCTAGGAAGGGTATGTCAATTTACAATGCTATATAAAAGGGCTTGTTTTCTTAATAGTCTTCAAATTTGGTCACCCCAAGAAATCTGTCCATGAAATCAGAATTTATGTAGATAGAGTATATAGAATAACATATATAATTTCTTTTTTCCACAGGAAACCTACCCCAAAAGCCAGGATTTTAAGAAATCCCACTTACCAACAATTAGCCTTTGGTGCAGCCAACTGATTTAGACAGGGACTTTTTTTTTTTTGGTGAGTCAAAGTCTTGCTCTGTCACCAGGTTGGAGTGCAGTGGTATGCGCTCAGCTCACTGCAACCTCTGCCTCCCGGATTCAAGCAATTCTCCTGCCGCAGCCTCCCATGTAGCTGGGACTACAGACACGTGCCACCGCACCCAGCTAATTTTTGTATTTTTAGTAGAGACGGGGTTTCATCATGTTGGCCACGATGGTCTCGATCTCTTGACCTTGTGATCCACCCACCTCGGCCTCCCAAAGTGTTGGGATTACAGGCGTGAGCCACTGCGCCCAGCCTAGACAAGAACTTTTTAAGCCAACTTTTCAGTCTGCCATGTTTGTGGAACTGTGGTTATTTATCATTCTACAATGATTTAATTGCAAATTTATGTATATCTTTTTTTTAAGATGATATAATAAGCTAGGTTTGTTTAATGACAACCCATTTTAATTTACTGGAGAAAAGAATCCATTTGTCTTAACCATAATCAGAGGAAAGTTACTTGGTCAAACAAAGTAAAAACCATAAATGATGGATAGCCATCATTACCACAGTAACATTGGTCCAGCTAGGAATCAGCTTGGCTAAACGGGTGACCTCCTACTCACATACCTCCTCAGTGCACAACAAACACAGGAGCAAACAAAAGCCTTTACAGAATCCAGAATAACCAGGCAAGAAGAAATAATAATTAAGCAAAAGTTTTAAAATACTACCCTTAAAAAAAATGATACTACAAGATAGAAGTTAATGTGTCAGAAAGATATTCTCGAATATAAAGCCCACTCCAGGACTTTTAAGGAAGATATCAGAGACATATGGAAGGCCAAGTCCAGGATATATTTAACTGAAGAAAAGGATATTTAGAAAATGTCAACATTTTCTAATGCAACAGAAAACCAAGCCAGCTTAGTCTTCTACTTAGTAAGTGCCATGCTAAATTGACCAACTTTATTCTCCAACTTTCTGAGGATCCAGAAAAATCACACAAAAAAGAGAAAATATCCAAATATAGAAGCGTACTTTAACAAAATCAAAAAACCTAAATTATATTGGGCTCTGGTGACCCAGCAATCAAATAATCACAGGCATTTGGTCAATGTCTATGGTTAGCTCAATGAGAGAGGATGTTTAGCTATAGCGCCAGGTACAAAAAATATATTTTCATGAAGGCTCACTCCCTCTTATGCAATAGAGTTGGGTGAGTGAGTGTATAGACTCAGCTTTCAGCTTTCTGAAATTCCCTGCATCAGTCTTGTTATGATGATTCCTTAGTGCTAGGATAGATCATCCAGCCATGTAAGGTAACACAATAACACTTTGCTCATTTAAAAAAAAAAAAAGTTATCATTTCCAAACTCAGCGTAGTCACCCAAAGTTTAAAAAAAAAAAAGCCTCAGAGGCAAAGGAAAGGGGTTCTCAACCTTGGTAACCATAAAATGACGAATGAGAAAACTCCTCCTGCTGAAGGCACTCACGTATATAAAGGGAAGGAATACTTCAAACATCATTGTTCATTGTCAAATCCACATCTTCTGGATTTTTTAGCTTGGGAAAAAAAAAAAATGAGCACCAAACCTGATATGATTCAAAAGTGTTTGTGGCTTGAGCTCTTTGTGGGTCTATTCATTGCTGGCACCCTGTCTCTGGACTGTAACTTACTGAATGTTCACCTGAGAAGAGTCACCTGGCAAAATCTGAGACTTCTTAGTATGAGCAATTCATTTCCTATAGAATGTCTACAAGAAAACATAGCTTTTGAGTTGCCCCAAGAGTTTCTACAATACACCCAGCCTATGAAAAGGGACATGTGGAAGGCCTTCCACGAAATGTCCCTACAGGCCTTTAACATCTTCAGCCAACACACCTTCAAATCCACTTGGAAAGAGAAACACCTCAAACAAATCCAAACAGGACTTGATCAGCAAGCAGAGTACCTGAACCAATGCTTGGAGGAAGAGGAGAATGAAAATGAAGTCATGAAAGAAATGAAAGTGGATGAGATGAAAACCTCAGAAGCCAGGGTCCCCCACCCGAGGAACCTGGAACTGAGGAGATATTTCAACAGGATAGACAATTTTCTGAAAGAAAAGAAATACAGTGACTGTGCCTGGGAGATTGTCCGAGTGAAAATCAGAAGATGTTTGTACTACTTTTACAAATTCACAGCTCTTTTGGGAACTGAAATCCTGTTCCCTCCGAAATCCCTTTCTCCTTCTCTTCCTCCATCTTCTAAGGATTACTGTGCTATTCTGCAAGCCTGGCCTCAGTTGGATTGGTGGCCTGGGAACGTAAGGGACATTTGCCTCTCTAAGGAGACCAAGAGTCTTGTTAGAAAGTTTTAAAGACAGGTTTAAAGGAGTAAGATTCCCTTTCCATCTTCTATTCTCTCTTCCTCTTTTCTTTGGCCGTTTGGAAAGAGCTTTGCTGTACCACCTGTGAATTTCACCAAGACAAAGCCTAGAGGATAGGGAGCAGAGAATGTTGCAAAATGGTAACATTTGAATAACTTAATTGTTTTGCTGTCAGTGTTGTTTATCCTTTGAAAATTCAGCACAGTCAAAGAGCTTACATGTGTTCCCTAGAGTCCATACCTTTGCTTTTCTCCCCTCCTGCTCAGAGAAAAAAGGTTGACATTTCTGGCCCATTTGCTTTTCAGCTGGGGTTTGTTTGAATTGATGCTGTTTGTAGAATGGTATTTCATTATTTTAACAGAGTGAAGATCCATAGTGAAATTGGAGGAATGGTTCAATTAGATGACCATTAAGCTCTCATTTAGCCTTTGAGAGTCCATGATTCTAATGCAGCACACTCTTCATTCCTGACATATATTGTTTGACTCCTCCATCTAAAGGCATGGAGAATGCTGCAGAAAAGTATATAGTACAGCATCTGTCTTTCACTGTTTTTTATGTGCCTGAAATAAAATGTCCAGAGTCATAATATGGAACAATTTTACATTAGATTTTCCTAGTTAGAAGACTACGTTCTGTGAGTTAACTAGCTATTCCAATAATACCTGATGCTTAAATCTCTTCTATCTTTTTAAAAGTTATTTTGCAGCCAGATTACCTAGATTATTTACTTTTCTTGTATGGCCCTTCATTGTATTAATTCACCACTTAGCTCAAATGGATTTTCTCTTCCTCTCTCTCCTCTACCCCATTTCAGAACCATCTACCTTCAAGCAAGAATTAACAGAGACTGCGGCTATGCAAATGCACAAAAAAGGGTGAAAGGTACCTGGTTCCGCCCTTGGAAGCCATTTCCTGCTCATGCCATAAAAAGCATACTGCTGAACTGTTCAGATTCAAGATTATTGCAAGTGCAGGGCTCAAATGGTAGAGCCAAAAGTCTTATGATAAAAGTGAGGCAAATCTCAGTCAAGAAGTTAGAAGAAATGTTTAAAAGAACAGGAACAAATTGTAAATCATGGTGTATGCAGGCTATCAGCAGAAGGATCAGACAATAAAATGAGTTAGTGCAAACCACTTGGTAAAAATAGCTATCAGCAGAGTTGTTCCAAATTAAAAATAGTACTACAAGCTTGTAAAGGAGTTGGGACATGTAAGCTAGTTAGCGGAAAATATACCCTTGCTACTTTTCATGAATTTCTCTAATAAAGCCTTTGCCTGTTCTATTAACTTTACTGGAATGATGTCAATTACTTTAGTCATTTAGGGTGGCAGTTCTGCCAAGTATTTTCTATGCAGGAGAAAAGAGAATGGCTGAGAAAGCTGTGCACTTTCAGTCAATATAGATTTTCCAGTTGTGTGACAGGGGTATGCTTTTATAAAGAACACATCTAATCAAAAGAAAAAGGATAACAACTCCACTGGAAAATAAGGCAAGGACACAAACTGACATCATGGCAAAGGAAGAAATACTACAGACAATATGATAAATGTTTAATCCAACTTGATTTTTTAAATGCAAAATATGATGACAAACTACTCCCCTTCCATCAGTATGGCAAAAATGAAAAAGAATTATAATATAAAATGTGAGTGGGGTGTAAGGTAGAGGACACAGGAGCCTTTGTGCATAACTGTGGAGAAAGTAAACTGGGACTTTTTCTATAGGGAAATATGGCAAGCTCAAATATCCCAGAGAAGGCATCAACCCCTGTGACCTAGGTATGTCTTCAGAAATTTATTCCAAGGAAGTAAGATTGTTCACTGGAACCTTGTTTATAATATCTCCCCCTTTTATATTCATTTTTACCTATCAATATTTTTTATTTTTCCCAGGATGGTTTTTTGGGGGGGGAAGTTTTTAATGCTAACAGAAACAGTACAAGATTAGCTTCCACTATCATTGCCCTGTTTTTCTTAGTGGGGTAGACAGTGATGCCTTTAGGTACTTCTTGAGTAACTTTGGTCATTTTTGTTGCTTCTGGGTTGCTGCTGTTCCTAAATTTCAAAGGAATCCCTCGTTGGGGATAATTTTCATAATGAAATTCTTATAAAGTGCCTTTCAGTACTTCAAAAATGTTTTCTGTTGCTGGTTCCACCGTTGGTAAGGTAAAATGACATAGTATCCAAAAATCACTAGATAAAGAGCTCTGTGTGTCACATTCCCGGCTTAGCAGTCTCGCTTCTTTTTTTGTTAAATGGAAACGCAAAAGTTCTGTTAAGTTGGCAAAGGGAAAACTCTCAGAACTGTGCAGACCAAGCACCTGGTATCCACTGACAACGTCTGAGTGGGTACATAGATCATAAGTGTTCCACATAAGCCTCTTTCTTCCCCTGGGTTGAGGAGGAATCGAAAGTGTAACTGAGCTTCCCTTGGAAGAGGGACTGGCTGGGGATCCCACGGGAAAAGCTGGCAACAGCAGGTCGACTGGAAGGCTACGGGGAGGTATAGGTTCCAACAGGTACACAGTGTCAGTCGGCCTCCCCTCAGAGGCAACACAAGTCGCTGGGCACCATCTGGGGACCCTGCCTTCTCCAATGGCTGCACTGCTTTTGCTCTAGTTCTTTAATCAATAATCCACACTCACTAAGAATGAACACAACGTGTAAGCATCTAACTTGCGCAGGGAAACAGGGCCGCCTGCAACCCAACAGGTGCACGCACAGGCGAACTCGGGCCATCCTAAGCCACTTGTTTGCTGGGACGTGAAAGAGGGAACAGTGCTCTGGCCATATCTGCGTTGTGTCCTCAGTCCTTTTTCTACAATGCAGAAAGGGGACTTGGGATTTAAACTTCGAGTGGTACTCAAAGCCAGAACTCCACGTTCATACCGCAGTGAGCCACCACACCACTATTTCCCGGCAACGTCATGAGGTTTCCTCATTATTTGCATCTAGGTTCTCTTTTTGGCGACTAGCCTGCCCTCCAGCCCTTGGAAACTCATGGACCTCAGAATCTGGGCTTTCCACCTACCAGAGGTGCCCTGATATCCCCTCCCACTGTCCTGGCAGCGGCCCAACCCCAACGCCTTTAGCTAGAGATTGAAATCCTCTGGAACCAACCACGAGACACTCTGGATTGGGGCGGAACTCGCTACTACTGTCTCGAAAGCAGCACCCTTCTCGGATTTGCGCCCTTTGCGGCGCGCCTGGGCTGAGATCTGAGAAATGCGCCCCGGGCCACAGGCAGCCGCGGAGGCGGGGAAGAAACAACTTTCCCTCCTCCCTCTAACCGCAAGGGCGGGGTGGGGCGGCCTCGCTGGGGTCCCGCTCCTCCGCTTCCCCAGCTGGGATCCCCTGCCGGAGCTGGCGTGGGGGCTGAGGAGGGGGACCAGAGGGGCTGCCTTCTCTCCCCAAGCCCCACCAGATGTTGGAAAGGCAAACAATAGGGGAAACGCGGAGAAACAAAAGGCCATTTGCCACGATCCCAGTCGACAGCGCCGCAAGGTCCCTGCGGGGAGGGTCAGCGGAGAGGGTCGGGAAAGAGGGCGAGGGGGCTCCCGAGAGATTTAGGGTCTCTGGTACTTGCCAGGCGCCAGGGGCCCGCGCTTTACCCTCCCTGCAGTGGTCTGAAGGTGGGAAGGGGCAATCAAAGAAAAGTTGAAGGGTTTTCACCTTCTTTCCCAGTTCAAGGAAAGGGAGGGGCTGGGATTCCACAAGTTTGACAGTTGTTGGCCCCAAAGTTAAGCGCGATTTGTCCGGCCTTTCTACACTCCCCACCTCCATGAGGCATCAAGAGCCCCGGCGGCGACCGCGCGGAGTTCCCCGACGCTGCCCCGAGCCGAGACTCCTCCCTCAGGGTCAGGACGCCCCAGCGCGGTCCTCCAGCCCGGGCGCACTTCTGTAAAGTTTGTCTTCCCGCCACCCCGCAGCCCAACACGCACCCCGCAGGCGTCCGCGGCTCGGGATGGGCTCGGAGACAGACGCACCCCAAAAGGAGGACGATCTTAGTGATTTACATGTTTTTAAATCAAGGCCACGGGTCCCGGGGTGGAAAGTGGGCGACCCTGGTTCCTGCCGGGAAGTGCGCCCGAGGAGCCGGCCCGAAGCCCGGGCGCCGGCAGGGGTCCGAAGCGGACTCCAGCCTCGGAAGCCTGCGGCCGGCCGGCAGGGGACAGGTCGGCCGGCAGGGGACAGGTCCGCCGCCTCCTGCGCCCGCCCGCGCCCTTCCGCGCCCTCCCGCGCCCGCGCCCGCGCCCAGGTGCTCCCCGCACCTCGCTGCCCGCCCGGCGGAGAGCCCGAGCGAGCAGCCACCGGGCTGCGCCGCCTCCCCCGGCTCGGAGGGTTCTTACTCACCGTGGCGTTTTTCCGCCCGCCAGGGCCCGGTCGGCTCCCTCCGCCTGGTCAGCCGCAGCCGGCGCGAGAGGACGAGGGTGAGCTCGGGGCAGGTGGGGCGTCGCTTGCCGGTCCACGCGAGGGACTCTGCGGCCGGCGCGCGCGGTCCCAGCGAGCCAACCGGCGGACGGGCCAGCGCCTGGCTCCGGAGCAGCCCCCGCAGGCACCCAGCGCGCCGCGCAGCCGGCCGGCGCTCCGCTGTCTCGCGGGGGCGCCGAGCGGGGACCCCTGGCGGCCGCCTGCGGAATGGCAGCTCGAGGGGAGAAAGGTCGTCTTTGGGATCATCTTCCCTTCGGACAGAGATGGGAAATGACCGGTCTAAGGGGGCTCCCAGCCTTCGGAAAAGACACTGACCCTCGGGCCAGGGCGGGGAAGAAGGTGTCGGATCAGAAAGGATGCGCTCTGCGTCCACAACGGCCACTTCCAAGGCACCTACGGAGGGGGAGACGGTCTGTCTTCTTCAGGATTTTCTGATTCTTGAAAAATACCATGAACTACCTGACCCAGAGCAGAGCATTAATCTTTGGAAAATACTCAGATTCTAGCATGTTTACTAGAACACACTGGGAGTCACGGACCAACATGGATTTTAAAGC